CCTAGATGGAGATAAATCACAATATTTGTACAGTTATGGAATTGCTCAACAGGCACAGTTTGACATAAAAAGCTTTACTTTTTAAAATTTTGGGTTGTACTTAGCTTAAGATATTCCAGTAGGAGGTTTATAGTGAATAGAAAGGAAGCTTTAAAAATATTAGGCTTTAATCCAAGTGATAATCCTAGTGAACGAGAAATTACAACAGTATATAGAAAGTTAGCCCTTAAATATCATCCTGATAAACATTCAGATAAGAGCAAGGATGCACAAAAACAAAATGAGGAGAAATTTAAAGAATTAAGTAATGCATATAAATTTCTTGCTGAGAAAAATGCAAAAGAAGCTAAAAAACCAAAAGAGACAAAAAAAACTACAAAACCAACCAGTGAAGGTTTGAATGAATTTAATTTGCTGAAGATTTGAAGTTTCATTTATATGCAGCTCTCCTCAGGCAAGATATAGCATTTCTCAAAAAGCTCTTTTCTAAGTTCAAGAGCAGTAAAGATGGAAAATTTGGTGATTACATCAATGAAACGCACTTTGGAGGTGATTTACCATTATTTTCTGCTATTTCTTTTGGCAATGTTGAGCTTGTGAAATTGCTTTTGGAAAATGGTGCTAATCCTAATATACGCAATAAATATGGTGGATTTCCATTACATGAGGCATCTTATAAAGGGCATGATAGTATTGTAGAGCTACTTTTGAAACGGGGTGCTGATCCTGATGTGCGAGATAAACATGGTGACGTTCCACTACGTACAGCACTTCTTTGGAAGCATTATGGTACCGCGGAACTACTTTTGAAATACCATGCAAATCCTAATATACAAGATGCATGTGGTGATGTTCCATTGTATAAAGCGTTTATTTTGGGGCATGATAGCGTTGTAGAATTACTCTTGGAAAATGGTGCAAATCCTAATATACAAGATAAACATAGTAATTTTCTATTATATCAAGCATTTTCTTGGAAGCGTGATAGCATTGTAAAGCTGCTCTTGGAGCATGGTGCTGATCCTAATATACAAAATGAACATGGTGAATTTCTATTATATGAAGCATGTTCTAAAGGGCGTGATAACATTGTAAAACTGCTCTTGGAGCATGGTGCTGATC